GGGCCCCGCCGCCGCTCCCGGCCCCGGGGGGGGGGCAGGTCTCATCATCCCCGCATCCCCGCTGTCCCCCCACCTCCGTCCGTCCCCGGGCAGACCCCAGCCCCTTGGGCTGCCCCCCCTCTCCCCCCAGGCATCTCACCTGGGGTGGGATGTGGGGCTGGGGGCTGGAGCGGGGGCGCAGACCTCGCCGTGCCCCGTGGGGCGGGAGCGGGTGCGGGGGGGCCCGCTGGGGCAGGGAGCGGCGGGGGGATCCGCGCACATGTCGGCAGATGCGGAAGCCGAAGCTTTTGCTTCAGACGGGGTGAACTCCTCCCGACCCGGCGGAGAGCGGGCACCCACACAGCACAGTCACTTCCCACCGCCACGCCAGACTTCCCGCTGCCGTTAATCTCCCCCCCCCGGGAACCCTCCCTGCTCCCTCTGCCAGGGGGAACGCTCGGGGCCGTGGTCTCAGGCTGGGCCAGGAGCCCACGCGTCCTGTCCCCTCGCCCAAACCCGGGCTCTGCTCTCGCTTAACTTTGCAGCCTGAGTAACGCTCACACCCGGGGGGACCCCGTCCCTGCTGCCAGCGTGGACTGATGTCGCTTTACAGAGGGGGCTGACGTGGGACCTGGCCGGGCACACGCTCCAGCACAGCTTCAGGTGCCACTTTCCAAACCTCAGAGCCGGCAGCGGGGCCAGCGCGCGCGGGGGGTGTTAATTAGCACTCAGCAAAATAGCGGATGCTGCCAAGTCGCAGTGTTTGGTACGGGGAGGGATGGACGGGGGAGAAGGTGCAAGTGCTGAAACAGTGTTAGGTGTGAGATCGGGTTTGGACACGGCACCTCCTGGCTCTTTTTAGCCCTGGGGAGGACTCGCCGCTTAACGAGGAGCTCTGTGCTTCCTGCTGTGGCTGCTCAGCAGCTGGCGTGGTGCCTTCCCCCCTCCCGCGGGTCGGTGGGCACCGTCTCCCCAGCCCTGGGCTCGCAGCCGGCCTCTCCTCTCTCCTGGATCCGGACCTCTCCTCTCTCCTGGATCTGGGCCTCTCCTCTCTCCTGGATCCGGGCCTCTCCTCTCTCCTGGATCCGGGCCTCTCCTCTATCCCGGATCCGGGCCTCTCCGGCAGGGATGGCAGATCCTGAACCCGGCCCCTGCAGGGGCTGCGCTCGGCTCCTGGGGGGCAGCGCAAAATGACAAGGACGTGACCCATTTGGCTTTGCGCAACAGTGAGCTGGGTTGGCCGTGGTCCTGGATAAAATTGGTTTTTTTCTCTGAGGAGCCCAGTGGTGACAGGGAGCTTTCCAGTTGCCTTTGTAGCCAAAGCTGGGAGCAGGGTGGCCGGCAGGCAGTGCTGTGTTGGTCCGTGGGCATGTGGCGACTGGGGGGTGGTGGCCCATGGCCGTGTCTGGCAGGTGGCTCAGCGCGGCGCTGGCCTCGTGGGGCCCTTCCCTGTCACCGCGAACCTGAAGGCTGCCTTGTCGGAGGCAGGAGAAGAGATGCCTGGTGGTGTGGCTTTGGGAAGTGTAGAGTGGAAGGGCCGTGCGTGGGGATCCCTCTGGACCTCAGACCCTCCTGGCTTCCTCCCCTCCTCTCAGGACAATGCCCTCAGAGATCTCTGATCTGGTAGAGCTGCGTCTCCTGGGTCGTTCTGTGATTCCTCCGTGGTGATGCCTGGTGTTTGCCGTGTCCCAGTGCTCACCAGCCTCAGGACCCCGTTTTCCTCTTGCTCACCCGTTTCACATCACTGTATCACAAATTACCTTCATTTATCCATTTTTATGCTGTCGGCAGCCCAGGCTGCCCTCACGTCACTGCTCCACCCCATGATTACATGGCAGAAGGACAGGGGGACAGTTCCAACTTGGTCATTTCCACTTGTGCCCAGGTGATGTGAGAGCTGCTCCGGGACAGAGGCCGTTTCTCTGGGGCAGAGTCCCCCACGGGCCCCATGGCAGTTATGGGTGCTGAACCCCTGATGCTCCTCCTGGGGATTCCCCACCCGGTGTTACATGTCTCCCCATGAGCTGGTTCCTTTCTGCTCTGCCCACATGCCTCTTCTGCCTGGTGCCTCCTCCTCCAAATTTTGGCTCATTCCATGGCTGTGCCAGCTGCTCGAAGCTGAAAGGCAATAACCAGACCCCAGGGACTGGGGTTCCTTCTGTGGTTTCCTCCCCTTTGGCTTGTCCCTTTCCCAGGCCACGTAATGATCCTGCGTGTCCTGCTGGGAACATCGTTGGGGATGCATTTTGTGCAGCACTGATGGTGCTTTCCTGCCACCCACTTGCATTAATGCTCTCATTGCAAAAGAAAAAAGAACCTTTTCCATGGGCCAGCAGGAGTCCTGCTCCTCAGTGATGTCCTCCAAGCGCAGAGTGATTGCTCTGCAATTAATTACTGGAGGATTTTAGTAGAACATCTGGCCACATACGTGGGAAAGGTTTTCCAGCTATTGCAGAAGCTCGAGTGGTTGAGCTGACGTCCCAGTGGCTGCAGGTAAAGTCCATCAGAGGGTGATGGGGAGAACCTGCTCTGCTCTGAGCACTCCTGGAGTGGAGAAGATGCATTTGCAGAGCGGCCGCTGCCACTTTAGCTCTGTTGGCTACGAACACAGCTCTGTTGGCTATGAACCAGCTGCTCTCGGGCAGTGGTGGTTGGTGCTTTGGTGTAAGGGACACACTGAGCTCTCAGCCCACTCTACAGAGAGGGTGACCCTGTGTTCCTACCGCCCGATGGCTCGGCTTCATCTGCTCACTGCTTCCCCTTGCAGCCCAGGTTGGGTGACATCCCAAAGCACCAGAACATACTGGTTCCATACTGGTTTGTGCCTGGTTTAGCCTAGTTTAGACAGCCTCCCAAACTGGTGCAACACAAGCCCATCTGAAATGTGTGTGTGTCCGTAGCTTACGTGTGACCCGGTGAACTGTACCGCTGCAGGGTCAGACACCAGACACCAAAATTAGAGTTAATCTTCAAAAAATGCCAGACTTGTGTGGTTCTGCACAAGCCTCACTTGTGTCTGTGCCTCCCAGCAGCATGGCTGTTGATAAAAGGAGGGTATCTTGGGTTTTGAGGCCTCTTGCCTTATCCAGAGCGATTGATGCACCAGCTGCGGGGCTGAGCCACGCTTGGCACAGAGGATGCTCTCCAAAGGGCCCTGGTTGGGTTTGCTGCTGCAGGAGGGAGGAAAAGAATCTTGGTTTTTTGGCAGCCCTGGATGCCCCTCCTGCCTGTGCTCAGTGAGGTCCTTGGCCAGAGGACACTCACCTCCTGTTCCTCATTCTGCATGGGTCTAATAGTGATTTGGAGAAGTGCGATTGCGGTCAGTAAGTGTTGCAATTGGACAGAATATGGTGCTCATGGTGCAAAGTGCTCTGAAAAAAATGTCGAAAGGTTTGCAAACTCTCTGTCGTATCTTTAAGTAGTCATTAATTCGGAAAGTGGGACGATGGGTCTGTCTGGATGGTTATTGTAAGGGTTTTGCTTCTGGGGGGTCTGGTGTGGGGCTCAGGCTCTGTGAGCAGAGTGCTCCGATGCCTTTTTTTTCCTGCCAATACTGACCTGCAGCACAATCTGATTTTTGGCCCCGTGTGTGGCCTGCCGGGCTCTCAGCATCTGCCTGTGTGTGTTGTGGACTAAGAAGGAATTCCTGGCAACCTAAATCCTGTCTCAGACTCTCTCTGTGCCCAGCTGGGAGCTGTCACAAGCCCATGAATCCCCAGGATAAACTCATTTTCACGGTCTCTCCCCATGGAAAAATCCATCCTGGCACATGCCAGGAGGTTTTGCTGGGATGTGGCTTCTCTGGGGCTGTTTCTGTGTTCCTGGGGGCTTCATGGTGAGAGTCCCCTGCCAGAATCACAGTGACATTGTTTAAACTGTGCGGAGGCACCTGCAACCTTCCCATGGCGGGTGGAGGAGAACAAGCAGCGGAAGGAGGTTGAACCCCTCCTGTGGCAAACACCAGTTTGCAAACACCAGATGACCGTCACCCAGAAGCAGCTTTTCTCCTCCGCAGATTTACCAGCAGCTCAGAGGAAGGTGCCCGCAGCGGCTGATGTCTCAGTTTGGGCAGATGAACCCTGGCGTTAGGGACAAGCGAAGCCTTTTCCTTTGCTGCTGCTGTAAAGTGGAAAAAAATGTGCCATGGAGGCCAAGGGGAGGTGGCTCCAAACCACGCTGGGCTGTTTGTCCCTGAGCGGGCTGGCAGATGCCCTGGCTATGGAGCAGGGAGCGATGGTGGGCGGCTTGTGTGAGGCTGCCCACCAAACCCAGGGCTGAGGAGTCCCAGAGATGGGCTCTGCCGGTCTGGAAAGGGATGGGGGACCCAGAGGAATTGTAGCCAGTTATCCCTGGGCAGGTGGGCACGGGGGGGCAAAAGGGGCCAGTGGGCTCCCACGCCGTGGGGGATCTCCGCTGGCAGGGGGACGCTGCTGGATGTTTCTACCCTCCAAGGAAACTCCTGAACGGGGTCAGGCCCTCCTCCTGGTGCAGGGGGGGAAAAAACAGGCTCCGGAGAGAAACAGTTTGTGTCCTTTTAAGGCAATCCAGAGGCTGGGACTGGAAGGCTCAGGCTGGAAGGGAGGGATTTGGCACAGGCTGCCTGGTGGTGGGAAGCCCGGCCTGCAGGGCCTTCGGTGAAGAGACTTCCCGGCTGCTGTGCTCACACCCCAACCACAGCTCCTGGGGTCCCTGGGGGCACCACAGCCCCCCCGGCCCTGCTCCCGGCACCCTCACGCCTCCGTCCGTCTGTCCCGCGCTGAGACCCCCCGTGCGGCCTGCAGCCGGGCTGGAGAGGGGCCAGTGCCTCCCCACAGCCCAGACACGGCCCGCACCCACCCTGCCCTGCCCGCCCTGCCCTTGGAACCGGGTTGAGATCAATTTCCCTTTCCTCTTGCCTGACAAAATACTCTTACGCCAGAAAAAGCTCGACTTTCCCAGGCACTGGGAGGTGCAAGGCCTGGCTGTGCCTGTGGGCAGAGGGTTTGGGGTGCTCATCCCTCCGTTTGATGATCACACAGCCCCCAGCCTTCTTGTTGCATCCATCCCCCCGTGGGAGCTGGGACGGCGCCGTGTCTCTGCTGTTGGGTGGGCAACTGGGGACCCAGAGATGGGGATTCAGCTGCCCGAGGTGGCCCGGGGGGTCGGTGCTGTGGCAAAGAGTGGGCTCAAAGGCTGTGCCCCCCACGTGCCCCAGCAGACCCAGCTCCCCTTCCTCATAGCCCTGTGGCCGAGCCGAGGGAGGAGACGTGGTCCTGGTGTGCTGTTGGGGGGACACACGCAGTGTGTGGGGACCTGGTCCTGCTGCTTTAGCTGTTCAGGAGTCAGGAAGGGGGTGGCTGTGCCTGCACCAGGGAGGGTGACTTCTGCACCAGATAGGAGCAGAACGGAGAATGGCAGAAGTGTTGAAGGAGAGAGGCCTCTGGAGACCTCCCAAGCTGCAGCTTCTGCCTATTGACCTTTCTTATATCATTGGGCACCACCAGAAAGTGTTTTGTTCTCTCTGTAGGTTGCTGTTAGATCCTTCTTAGCCTCCTCTTGGCCATACTCAACCAGCCTTCCTCAGAATCTCCCTGTAGGACTTTGTTGCTTGAATGTCTCGAGGTTTGTGCTGGCCTGGTCTTCGAAAGTATCAAGGCTCCTCTGGGTTGGAGCTCTGCTACTTGTGTTGTCTGCTCACTGGTTTTTTGGGTTGTCTGCAAATTTGCGGATCAAGGGGCCTCTTGATCATGTCTCATCAGATACGTTTCAGGAAAGAGGAGAGAGAAGCATTTCTATCCTACCAAGGAGCTGCATGGTGGCTTAGGTTGATGCTCAGGTGTTTGCCCTGCACGTTAGTGTGTGTCCCCAGGGCTGCTGATTTCCCAGCCTCTGTGACGGTACCTGTGGTCCTGGAGGACACTGAGATGCCCGAGTATGGGGGGGAACCTGTGAGCAGTTGGCTGGGCAAGGCACAAGCTAGTGATGCTATGGGGGACATGGTGCCACTCTTTGGTGCTATCAGGGGTCAGCTCCTGCTCTTTGGGCAGCCCTGACTGTACCCCTGCCCTGTGTGGTGGCAGAAATGGAAGAGATGTTCAGGGAGGAGAAGCTGGAACTGTTTCCAGCGGGCTGACAGCCTGTAGACTCCCCAGCACCAAGGATCAGTCACCCTGGCCATTGCAGCATCGCCCTGCTGGGGGGTAATGGCAGGGCTGGGATCTAACGAGGGGCTGGAGCCGTGGGTACCTCTGTAAGCACCGTCTCCCATCATTGTCCCACTTCCTCCCTTTTTCCTGGCACAGAAAGGAGCTGGGAGGTCCCACGGCTCCCGGGTCAGAGGCATTTCTGGTCCCTCAGAGGCAGCTGATACTGCTGGGTACTGTAATGATGGGTTCCGTGCTAATTCTGCTAATTATCAGCCCTGTAAATCCATGCTCAGAGCAAACATCCACAGGTGGTCTCTCCTGGGCAGAAGTGGGATGGCTGCAGGAGCTCTGCTGGCACTGCCCCGCTCTGCCCCATCCCTGCCTCCTGCCCGACCTCCCGCCCTGACGCTCCTCCTGCCTCTGCTTTTCTGCAGGATGCCCAACTGGGGAGGAGGAAAGAAGTGTGGTGTCTGCCAGAAGGCAGTGTACTTCGCTGAGGAGGTGCAATGCGAAGGCAACAGCTTCCACAAGTCCTGCTTCTTGTGCAGTGAGTACCAGCCCTTCCCTCGCCCCTCCTGCCCCCTTCCCGCTCCCCGCCGGCTGGGTGCCCCGTCACCTCCTGTTTGTGGGCTCTGTAAGTGCTTGTGAGGATTCCTCCACACACAGCCCTGCTGTGGGGGCCATGTGACAGGCTTTTTGCTTTGCTCCAGACTTGGAAATTCATTCTGCTGAAGGAACACGGATCATCCCAGGACACCAGGGACCATCCAAGTCTTCAGAGCTGACCTCAGCCAGCACCCATGCAAAGACTAGGGCTACAGAGATGATGAGAGGCTTGGAGCATCTCCCTTACAAGGAGAGGCTGAGGGACTTGGGTCTTTTTAGTCTGGAGAAGACTGAGGGAGGAACTGATCAACACCTATAAGTACTTAAAGGGTGGGTGTCAGGAGGATGGGGCTGGTCTTTTTTCAGTGGTGCCCAGTGACAGGACAAGAGGGAATGGGCACAAACTTGAATATAAGAAGTTCCACCTGAACATGAGGAGGAACTTCTTTCCTGTGAGGGTGGCAGAGCCCTGGCAGAGGCTGCCCAGGGAGGTGGTGGAGTCTCCTTCTCTGGAGACATTCAAAACCTGCCTGGACACGTTCCTGTGGGACCTGCTCTGGGTGGACCTGCTTTGGCAGGGGGTTGGACTAAATGGTCTCCAGAGGTCCCTTCCAACCCCATGTGATTCTGTGATTCTGTGACTTTGCCTGTCCCTGCACCAGGGAAAGGCTGGGATGAGTCCTCTACACTGTGTCCAGATGTTCAGGGTTGGAGCATGAGACAGGGACTCTTCAAACAGTGGTGGCAGGAGGTGACATGTCCCATGCAGTGCTCTGAGGTGATGCTAGCTTTAGTCTTCCAAGTGGCTTTGTCACACTAAAAAGGTGGTTGTGCCTTGGGAACTGGCATGGTATCTGCCCCTGTGTCCCAGGAGATGATGGGAAGAAGATGTGGTTGGTCCTGGCCCTTCTGCTGATGGAAGGCTAAAGCATCACCTCCAGTCTGTCTCTGTTGTATGTTTGGACCCAAGTGTCACCTCCAGGGAAGGGCAGTGGAACAGGATCTGGCTGTGGGTTAACTCGTTGCAGAGATCCCTCCCTCTGCCTGGGATCTTCTGTGGGATCCTACAAGTTCTGGGTTTCTGCTGCAGGTCCCCAGAAGCCCTCCCCCTTCCTCTGGGGACACCAGGGCAGCCGTGCAGGGACAGGCGAGTAGTGTTGTGGTGCTGAGAGCAACTCCTTAAACCACATCCAGGGGGGCTGCAGGACCTTTGACTAGAAAGATGACCACTGTCCTCAGCCTGTGATTTACCAGTTTTCTCTCCCCCGCCCTTGAAGACTCCTCTGTAGCACAACTAGGGATTCTCACGTGCTACCAGGGGGCTGCACGTGTCCTGTGTCCCTGGTGACTCATCAACACGGCAGAAGCAGAAGTGCATTTTCAGAGCTGCCCTTGCAGCAGGGCCCCACTGAGGTTTAACGTTTTCTCAGCCGGTCCCCGTGCCCTGTTCCCAGTCTCCCCAGCCCATTGCCACAGGGAGCACAGACGTCAGCTTTTCCATGCGGGCAGCAAGCGGAGCTGGGGTCTGCAAAGGGGCACTCAGCTACAACTAACCTCAGCAGACCTGTTCCAGCAGGGAAATACCAGTGTCCTCATGGGGCCGATCCCTGCCATGCTCCTGTGTCCCCCTGGCACCGATACCGGATCCTTCTTGGCCGGGCTGCCCAGGGTGCACAGCTGGATGCAGATGTGAGGGAGGGAGGCTGCTGCACGTCTCTGCTCCCTGCGCAGCGGGAAGAGTGGCCAGTGCGGCCCGTAGCTCTCGTATGTGGGAGTCTCCAGGCTGGAAACCTTGCTCTGGCCCTCGAGGACTACGGAGGGGAGTTGCAGCTTTCCCTGGGCGGGCAGGGGCTGGCAGTGTCCTTATTGCAGCAGGAAGTCGTGTTTCTTCTGCAGCCTCAGATAAGGAGGGTGGGGAACGTCACCCTCATTTCCCCCCTGCGCTGGCTTTTACCATCTGAGTCCATGTCACTGGGGGACCTCGGTATGGGGACGAAGATGCCATTGCCTCTGCCTGTCCCAGCGACCCCAGAGCACACAGCTGGATCCCTAGGGAAAGCTTCTGCTCTGTGATGCTGGCACCCAGAGCTCAGGGCTGGCCTCCAGGGGCCACGAAATCAGGCAAAGGCCATCCCTATAGAGGTGGCTTCCAGAAAGGAGAACACAGCCAAAGTAGGGAAGAAGGTCACCGCACATCTGCTCATGGACGCAGGTCACCAGGGAGTGGTCCAGAGCCAACTACAGCTGGGGCTCCTGTCCCTGTGCTCTGCAGGCGTAGATAATGTCACTCCACACCTACCCCAGCAGTTCTGTCTGTCCAGTTGCAGGGTCCCCAGTCCAGGCCGTGGCTCACGTGCCATCCCGTAGGACACCCTGGATTCCCAGCCCCGTGCCACAGGCTGTGGGTGATGCTGAGCTGCACCCAGCTCCTGCCTTCCCAGCCTGTTCCCCAGAGCTGCATTTGGGCCTCATCGGGGAACCTGAAGCCTTTATCTTTAAGGGAGGAAAACAAATACTTTGACCTGACCTGCCAAAAAAATAATCAAAAAGGAGCCAAACCTACCACAGCGCATTAGAACTGGAGATCGGCTCAGGGAGTGACTTGATGATTGACTCAGTGGCATCCGTCCAACTGAGTCAATAGTACACGGCAGAAATGTACTCTAATGAGATGGTTTGGCCTCTGAAAGCAGCAGCAGCTCTTGTCTAATTGTTTTGTGGAGAAACTCCGACGCTCTTAGAAAAACAAAGGGTCCTTAACTCGATGAGTGCGGCGCACTGGAATTTCTGCAATGCAGAAACCCAGGAGCTGGGGGCTGATTTCTAGGAAGCAGAACGGGAAAGAATTTTTCTGCTGCCTCTCAAAGCATCTGTGGCTTGTACAGATGAGGGGCTGTGAAAGCTCAGGTTAGAGCTCTGCATCCACCCAGCACCTTGGGAGAGAGAGACAGATAACATTGAGCTCGCTCATTCCCACCCCCAAGACAAAGCTCTTTCAATGTGCCAATTAAAGTGCCCAGATTCCCCTCCTGGAGGGTCTGTCTGGAGGCAGCGTTTCTCCTGATGAGCTCCAAGATAATTCAGAGACAACCCCAACACCACCCCGTTAGCTTGGCACCTATGGGACCAGTTAACCAGAGCTGGTCCTTCCCAACAGGGAGGTGTTCTCCATCCCCAACTGCTGTGATGGGACAGGGGAGCCCATGGCCAGGAGAGGACCCTGCCAGATCCTCCTTAGATGGCAGGAGATGTTTCCCTTTCCACCTCCTTCTCCTCCTCCCAGCAGCAGCACACGGGGTTCTCCGCGGCCCCGGAGGAGAAGCACCATATTTAGTAACTGGGTTGAGGGAAGCTGCCTCTCACCCCCGTGTTTAGTGCCGCGGTTTGTGCTGCTCCGGGAGGAGAGCGCTGCTGTGTTTGCATTCCTGAGATATTGGGAAAGGCCAAGAAACTTTTCTGCTGGCGAAGAGGCCAGCGGGCTGCTGAGAGCCTCGACATTTAAGGCATGTACGCGGGATGGGGGGAGGCTGTGTCCCAGCTGCAACAGGATCCATTTAGTGGCAGCTGCCAGCGCTGCGGACTCTGCCCCGGGTGCCTGGATCCTGCACCGCAGCAGGTAAACACCGGAGATGACTGCGAGCCCCTTGGGTGCCGTTCGCCTCCCGCTCCGGCTTGCTGGGAGGCGTGTTCCAAGGAAGGCTTGGAACCCGATGTGGGGGCTGAGATCAGAGCTGGGACGGGAGTCAGGAAAACCTAAAAATGGGGCGAACAGTCTGTGTGGCCTGAGCCCAGCACCAAGCTCAAGCTCTGGATGGGCTCAGCTGGGACCCCGAGCCTGGCTGCTGTGTCCTCCTGTCCCATCTTGCATCCCCTGTGGATCCCCAAGGCTGAAGCACCCAGCTGGGGTGGTGGTCCTCACCTGAGACCACCCTGATCATGGCATGGACCAGGGAGGACGCATTAGCTTGAACTCTTCCATCGGGGTCTGGAGAGGCAACTGTGCACAACAGTGTAAATGTCCCAAAAACCTTACAGTGCCTCCATAGGTTTGCTTTTAGTCCATCTAAACACAAGATAAAATATATTTGCTTACATGACTTTCCCCTGAGTGCCTATTGCTGTGTGTCTGCAGGTCCCTGGGAGCGTGGCAGAGCTGCAGGGGCAGGGACGTCCATCCCTGGGCTTGTGGGTCCTGCAGTGATTTGGGGGGCAATTTAACCCTCCCCCACCCCGGTTTAAATGCATCTCCAGGGTACCAGCACCAAGAGGGTTAACAGAGCTCTTCCTCATCTGGCGGTTGCTTCCTTTTAAAGCCCGACAATGTTCTTGTTGTGATCCTTATCTCTGGCTGTTTTGCATGCACTCCTTTCACCAGGATTTTGTCTAGGGTTTCCTTACTCCTTGAAAGCCGAGCTGTACTAGCCCTTGTGAGGACTTGTTTCCTCCTTAGTGAGCTCTGGATGAGCAGGCTAATGGCACGGCCCTCCCCTCTTTTCTAGTGGTCTGTAAGAAGAACTTGGACAGCACCACCGTCGCCGTGCATGGAGAGGAGATCTACTGCAAGTCCTGCTACGGCAAGAAGTATGGCCCCAAGGGCTATGGATACGGACAGGGAGCAGGGACCCTGAGCACTGACAAGGGCGAGTCTCTGGGAATCAAATATGAAGAGTGAGTTTAGGTCTTGTTTTTGAAACTGGGGTTGTTGTGGGCACCTTCTCCCCCACATCTGGTGATGGGCCGTGTAGCCCATGCTGAACTTCCAGCAGTATCTCATCTGGAGAGTGCCAGGGGCTGCCCTGCTTTTCTCTCCTTGGGGGAAACCCCCTGAACCCTATTTGCACGGTGGGATGGGGCTTGATGGGACGTGTCCCCATGGTCTGAGTGTGCTGCCTGTCTGTCCCCTCCTCGCACGCAGCCGTGAGGCTGAAGTTTTCCACGGGGCTCCACACATTGTGCTGAAGGCTCCGGGCCCTTCAAATCTGGGTTGGGATTTGTGATCCCATAGCTCTTCCCTGCTCCATCGTGCCTGTGCAGCCCTGCTCATGAACTCCCTCCCACCCACAGGGGCCAGCCCCACCGACCCACCAACCCTAACGCAGCCAGAATGGCCCAGAAAGTCGGAGGTTCTGATGGGTGCCCTCGCTGTGGGCAAGCGGTGTACGCAGCCGAGAAGGTGATTGGAGCTGGAAAGGTAAGAAGGGGAATGGAGTGGATGGGAGATGCACGTGCCACAAGCTGCTGTGTGGCAAGGAGAACTTCAGAGAAGGTCTTGATATGTCCCACAGGCTGGGCTGCCAGTGCCCCCAGCCAGGGCTGTGCTTGGGGACTGGTGGCCATGCTCACCTAGAAGCCTGGCACCAAAAGGAGACCTTGGCATGTCTGAAAATCAGGTTCTTCAGGCTGCCTTGCTCTTACAGGCTTGTAGATGGGAGAGAAATACATTTTGTACTAAACATTTGGAGCACTGCTCAGCAGAGGTCACAGTGGACGTCCCTTCCTCTAGATGTGTTGGGATGATGGACAGTGATGTGGGCCATGGCCACTGCCACCACTAACTGAGCAAGTGCAACATCCAGTGAGATCCTTCCCCATCCTCTGCCACAGGCTGGGATGCTGCAGCCCAAATTCAGGGCAGGGAATGAATTCCAGTGGTCAGCGCTGACCACAGGCAGGGCAAGTAGCTGGAGATGTGGGCATGGGCTCCATGCATCTCTCTTGGGTTGTTCTGCTGCTGGACTGGGTCTTCTCAGGGTGCAACAGCCTTGGCACTTCCTATGTCAAGTCCGTCACTTCACTGGGGTCCTTTGCCATGGCCTTGTCCTACCCAGCTCTGGGAAGCCTCTGTAAGGCGTGGGGACGCCTTCTGCTCTGTCAGCCCTGGGACCCCAAGCAAGGTCCCTGCCCTGAAGCAACCTTCCCCCTGAGGTCAGGGACATGGGCTTGCCAAGGCTGCTTGGCTTCGTGCCGCAGGGGCCGGGATGGCCGTGCTGGGAAAGCCTCTCCCCTCCCTGGTGACACCGGGTCACTCGCTGGCCCCTTCGTGCTCCATCCTCCCTGGGGCTTCTGTTTCTCCTCTGTCCCCAGAGCAAGGGCAGGAGGCATCAAGTCAACAGAAGGGGCCTCCCAGCATCATGGTACCCTGGCTGGCAGTGCAGGGCTTCATGATGGACACGTTGAGAGTCAGCCCAGGGTCAGAAGCCAAACTTAACCTTAAAATGATGATCTGGGCTTCCTGGTAGGTTTCTGGCCTCAGTGTTTATGGGGAACCAAAGCTGGCAAAGCAATTGCACTCAAGCAAACCCGGAGAGGATTCCAGAGCATGTATTTCATGTGCTAATGTTTGCTGGATGACTCCATCTGCTACCTCCTCCTCCAGCCCCCTAATTTCACATTTTCTTCCAAAAAAGGTTTCATGTTTTCCAAAGTGTTTATTTAAATTCCTCCGTGAGCAGCTCTGGCTACTCTAGGTCTGCTCAAAGGCTGTGAGCTCATTTATCCCAGAGGACTGATGGAGCTGTGGGGGGGGGTGGTGTTATTTTTAAACACTGGCTGATTTTGGCATTCTTCGTGTGTGTTTGCTGCCTTCCTTGGAGCTGTCGCTGTGTAGGGGCAGGTGTCCCAACCCCCCACCACCCCGCTGAGGTACAGCAGCGCTGGGTCTCAGCTGGGAAATGCGGGGGAATTATCACACTGCTTGAGAGAGGACAATCTCTAAGGAGGGGGGTGATTACTCCTTGCAAATTATTGTACAAATGAGTTCTGTGAGTGGGGGCAAACGCTCTCTGAAACCAGATCACCACGGGAGCAGTGACCACAGCTGGTGTTTCCTCTCCTGTATCTGCCCCCTGGGCTGGGAGGACCATTCCTTCCAGAATAAAGCTTTTGTCCTGCTCAGACCCCGTGTGCCCCCCTTGTTGTGGGTCAGACCCCGTGTGACAGCCCTGTCCCCGGGTGCCGTCTGACCGGGCTCTGCTCCTCTCCTGCAGTCCTGGCACAAGTCCTGCTTCCGCTGCGCCAAGTGTGGCAAAAGCCTGGAGTCCACCACCCTGGCAGACAAAGACGGGGAGATCTATTGCAAAGGTGAGTGCCCCCTTCCCCGCTGGCTTGTCCTGGACCTCGAGGGGTGGTGGCAGGGGGAGAAAAGCCCCGTGCAGGGAAGCGGGGTGGCCCTGGGGTTTGGGGAGGTGGTGGCCCCAGAAGCTGTGTGTGGGGACTGGCTGGGCACAGAGCTGGGGGATTTCCCGCTGTGCCTGGGGCCTCTCTGTTTGCCCAACAAATAAGGCAAACCCCGTCCCGTTTAGGCAGCGCCTGCTTCGAGGGGAGGACCCTCTCCTGTTCCGATGCCGGTCTCACCCGTCTCTCCCTTCCCGTCCTCTGCAGGTTGCTACGCCAAGAACTTCGGTCCCAAGGGCTTTGGCTTTGGGCAGGGCGCCGGGGCGCTCATCCACTCGCAGTGAGGCACCGGGACCAGGCTCCCCGCTGGCCCAGGGCTGGTCCGTGCCAGCCTCTGCTGCCCGACCCTGCCCGCACCCGCCGTCAGCATCCTCACCATCGTCAGTAACCACCCGCTACTTCTCAGCACGAGCCCCTTCCTCCCCGCCGTGCCCCAGCGCACCCCGAAGCTGCGGCAGTCCCAGCGTCGTCCCCACGGGGTCCTGCTGGCGCGGGGGGGGGACAGCTCACACCCACCCGCGGCGAGGCCCCCGCGCCCCAAACGTGCTGCTGCTCCGCGTTGCCCGTCCCGCCGGGATGCGTGCTCAGCCGCGCCGTGCCACCCAGCAAGCAATAAACATCAAAGCTGACCGATGCCTGGCCTTGCCGGAGAGTTTATTCCCCGTCTGGGGCTGCGGGGGTGCACTGGGTGAGCTGGGGGTCTGGAGGCAGAGGGAGGACGGGAGTTGTTTGCAATCACAGAATCACAGAATCGCAGAACAGTCATGGTTGGAAGGGACCTTTGAGATCATCGAGTCCAACCACAAAAAAAACCACAACACTACCAACCCCAAAAAAACCAAACCCCCAAAAAACCCAAAAAACCCCAAAAAGCCACCACCAACAAAAAATCCCCCAACAATCTCAGGCACTAGAGCAGGCCCTGAGGTGCCACGTCCACCAACCCCAAAAAACCAAACCCCCAAAAAACCCAAAAAACCCCAAAAAGCCACCACCAACAAAAAATCCCCCAACAATCTCAGGCACTAGAGCAGGCCCTGAGGTGCCACGTCTACATGTTTCTTAAATCCCTCCAGGGATGGTGACTCCACCACCTCCCTGGGCAGGCTGTTCCAGGGCCTGACCACCCTCTCAGGAAAGTAATTCTTCCCAATATCTGATCTAAACCTCCTCTGCCACAGCTTCGGCCCATTTCCTCTGCTCCTGTCACTATTCCCTTGGGAGAAGAGGCCAAACCCCACCTCTCTACACCCTCCTTTCAGGGACCTGTAGAGGGCAATGAGGTCTCCCCTCAGCCTCCTCTTCTCTGAACTAAATATGCCCAGATCCCTCAGCGTCTCCTCATAGGACTTGTTCTCCAGACCCCTCCCCAGCTTGGTGGCTCTCCTCTGGACACGCTCCAGCCCCTCAATGTCCTTCCTGTAGTGAGGGGCCCAGAACTGAACCCAGCACTCGAGGTGAGGCCTCACCAGTGCCCAGTCCAGAGGCACCATCACTGCCCTGCTCCTGCTGGCCACTCTGTTCCTCATACAAGCCAGGATGCTGTTGGCCTTCTTGGCCACCTGGGCACACTGCTGGCTCCTGTTCAGCCAATGGTCCACCAACCCCCCCAGGTCCTTTTCTGCTGGGCAGCTCCAGCCACTCTGCCCCCAGCCTGTAGCATTGCCTGGGGTTGTTGTGACCGAAATGCAGGACCTGGCACTTGGCCTTGTTGAACCTCATCCCATTGGTCTTGGCCCATTGATCCAACCTGTCCAGGTCCCTCTGTAGAGCCTTCTGACCCTCAAGCAGATCAACACTCCCACCTAGTTTGGTGTCATTTTGGTCATTGTGGCTTGCAATTAGAGCGCGGAGGCAGGAACTGCTGGGTGCAGTTTGACACGGTCCAGCTGTGGCCAGCTGTGCTCTGCGGGACCGGCTCTCCCCCTGGCTCCCGCGGTCAATAACCAGTTCAGAAGCAGTGGTTGGTGCTGGGAGGCCCAGGACAGACCTTCTCGGGTGTGTCGGTAGCACAACATGCGTGGACGCCTTTTCCAAACCCCTATCACTGCTTTGAGGTGGCGCCTCTCCAAACAGGCGTGCCTGGCAGTGCTGAATAATTAACCACTTTTCACCTACTCCCTGGATTTTTAGCAGCGCCGTGGATCATTAAAGCCGGCAGTTTGGCAGCTTCCCAGATATAATTCGTTTTCATCTAAACTCTTAACTTTCCTCCTGTGATTCTCTGGTTTGACCGGTGTGACATACTCATAAGATCACCCTCACTGAAGCTTGGAGTTATGAACTCCACAGGGAATTTAGTTTTGGCTTTATTATTTTTTTTTTAAGTTATAAACATTGTGGTTGAGTAAATGAGATGGGTAGTGTTTTGAGAAGCACAACAGAGGCAGAAATCCTTCTGTGGGGCAGGACTCAGGCTCCTTTATCAACTTAAGCATTGTCTCCCGCTCATCACACCCTGGGACTTTACATGATGCTTTTGAAGCTGAAATGGGGAGTGAGCCCTTTAAACATCTCCAAAAATTCCCCCACTCCAGCTTTCCCAGTCTGTGACCCATTCCAGCTGGTCCCGTTGCTCCGGGGTGTGTGGATGGGGTTTGGTGGGGCGATCGCAGACGGCGCTTGGTGTGTGGAGCAGCCAGCCCAGGCTCGGGGACGCGGTGGTGGGTCAGGAGCTGTAGCACAGCGGGGTCCCACCACCCTCGGTGGAGAGACAGAAACCTGGCTGCCTCGTTGGGCAGCAGCCCTGCTCCCCAGGGAGGTGTCAGGGGTTAGGAAGCTCCCTGCTTTCTCCAGGAGCACGTGGTGGATGCTGGGCTCCTGCGGCATGTCAGCTGGGTGGGCCACAGGGATTGCACCCAAGCAACGCTGTTTAGTCAATAAAGGTAGAACAAGTCTTTCTTTAGGCTCTTCTTCCCGTAGTTATAGACGTTGTGTCAAAGAGAGGGGAGGTACTGACATATTGCAAGTGTAATGGACCCCAAAGAGGCCATTGGCTCTTGGAGACCTGGTGAAAGTCAGAAGAAAATGTTGGGTTTGTGTTTACCAGGGTCACAGAAAGAAGTAGGGCAGAAGGGCCCTGCAGAGGTCTTGAGTCCAACCTCCTGCTTAAGGCAGGGCTAACTCCAAAGGCCAGGTTGATCAGAGCCTCTGGTGGCCAGTCAGGTTTGGAAACCCTTCAAGGATGGAGATCCCACCACTATGGGTTTTGTCACAGTGTTGCACCCAGAGAAGGTTGTTTTCCTAATGACATCAGGGTTTCCCTTGTGCCAACTGTGCCTGTTCTCTCTTGTCCTTTTGCCATGCACTGCTGTGTCTCCCTTCTCCACAACCCTTCTCTAGGTGGTGGAAAACTGAAGTTTGGTCTCACTGAGCCCTCTCTTCTCCAGGCTGGTGGGTCTCTGGTGAGCTTTCAGTCCCAGGTGACACCATGGCTGTGTCCTGGGTCAGGACAAACCTTGCCCTGAGGGTTTGCAATTGGTGCCACACGCCTGCTGGAGTTGTGTTGTTCACCTGAGAATGGCTTGGGGAGTGACAGAGACCAACCCCCCTGGCGTTAGCAGAGGCTGTCAGCGTGGAGAGAGCAGGGGCTGCACATCCAGACAGAGGGCAGGATGTGGGCTGGAGGATGTGGTGGAGCTAGACCCAGGAGATGCATGGTGGGATTCGAGGTGCTTTTTGGGCATCCCCTGCCCAAACTGCCGTGGGATGGCTGTGACCATCTGCTTCCCTCTGCTGGTTACTGCTCCCCGTGCATGGCCACGGCCCCGCATCAGCCAGCCAGCGGGCCTGGACATCTGCACCCAAGTGTTGTCCAAGTCCCTGTAGAGGCAGCAGAGCTGCGTTGCACCCAGCAGCACCCATCCCTCCCTGCTGCTGCCATGGGGGCTGCCAGCCCTTGGGAAAGGGGCTGTGGGACCCAAACCCACCTCCGAAGAGACAAGCCAGAGGGTTGAGTCGTTGGCTGAGCACCTGAGCTTGGAGGCTGGTGGTGATGGTACCACTCCAAGTGTTGGACTGGAGCCCCCTCAGACCCCACAGCTGGTGGTGCCAGGGCATTGCTTGGCCATGAGCAGTTTGTGGGTGTCACCCTGCCCAGCTGAGTCCTGCAGTCCCCGTTTCCTGCCCGTAAGGGCTCTGTGGACAGGACCTGTGTGGTGACCATGGGATCTCTGCTTGCCAGCAGCCTGATGCAGCGAGTCCCGTTGGGTTTGCTGGAGGGCAGGAGCTGCAGCCTTGGCCTCCAGGATGAGCCTCCTGCCCTGCAGGTCTGGGGATGGACAGTTGGGGAGAGAGGAATGGAGAGGGACTTGGTCAAAGCTCCTTCACATCCATGGCTGTGGGAAAATGACCTTTCCATGGTGGCTGGAGCCCGGAGAGGCAGCAAGCAGCGGAGCTGGGGCCTGGGGTGGTGGTGGGGTTGGCAGCCCTTGGCTGTCCCCAGGGTGGCGAGGAAGGAGATGGGGCTGGCTGGTGAACCAAAAGTGCCCACGGACATCCCAGCTCGCTGGAGCAGAGCTGGGAGCAACAGTCCCGAAACTACTCACCCCCAAATTTCCAGGGCTCAGCATCCCTGTGCCTGGGAAAGCAGCCTTAGATGCTCCTTCAGGGAGGGAACCCACACATCTGCCCTGCTCCTCCTAAAGGTCCTGGGGTGCTCGGGATGACCTCCAGGGCTGTGCTGCCCCCCCGGCTGTGCCCGGCCCCACGCTTCCTTTGGCTGCGGGGGTGTCGAGAGCCGCAGGGGTGCCGGGGCCGCCTGACGTCACCAAACCGGGTCTCCTGGGACCGCCGGGATCTCTGCCAGCGTGGCGAGGTTGGCCCCAGGGAGCACGAACCAGTTCCTGGCTCCGGCAGCCGCTGCCCTGCCCTCTTAATGAGGGATAATTAGGTGCATCTCATCAGCGCTGCAGACTTGCCCCCCAGCCACGTCGGCTGAAGGCAATACCCCCAGCAGGGACGGGGGACATGGAGGGGCTGGGGCAAGAGGGGCTCCAGCTGGGGACACCGGGGGGCTGTTGGGCTCTGTGGGGGCACAAGCGGGGCGATTTGGGAGGTGAGCACGGGGACAGCGGCTGTGAGCCAGGGACCTGGGGGTCGACCTGTGGGCTACCAGCCCCAGACAGTGACCCCGGCACATTCCTGGGGGATTTTTTCCCCTCCTAGACCTGGGCGAAGGGACCTGCACCCTCAGCATCTCCTGGGGCACCTCCAGCTGCCCAGCAGGCTGTGACCATCACCCCCTTTGGCAGCCCACGGCCAGCGTGAAGGTCCCCGATGTCCCTGCCTGCATGACCCGGTGAGCCCCTCCGTGCCAGGCGCTGGCAGAGGAACAGAGGAGGCTGCGGTGGCCGGGAACGAGACGGGCTGGAAAGGAGACGGGTGTTTCGCTGCAGGGGAGGGTGGACTCCGGCGGGACCGGGCTGTGCCGCGCTGCCCCGGCCCTGCTCCGGGGGTGCATCCCCCCCTGCACGGGTCACACCAGGCTGGGGGACGCTGGTCCTCGCTTTGGGACAGGCTGGGGGCTTCCACCCCCTGTCACCCAGGGGATCTGGGGGATGGGAGCTCTGTGTGCTGAGGGCTGGGCCAGCACCCTTGGGTGCAGGGCTGGGTGGGTGTCATGGCTGTCCCCAC